ATTCTCCACATTCCTTGTAGATGATGAAATATAAACTGCTTCATTGTACAGCCCTTTCCTGAAATGTACAACTTGTTCTTCAAGCCGTACAACTTCTTCTTCCAAAACAGCTACTTCGGCTAATAGCTCGAGTGTCTAATGCATTTTTTTATTCAAAATCAACGTAAGTGACAATCCACAGTTTTAAGGAATAAAATTAGGCTTAACTCAACCCCACGAGCTTTGCTCATCCATTGATATGTTTATTATTATTTATATTAATAAAGCATATGAGACCATCTTCAACATAATCTAAGTTCTCTTATTCACAAAATTAGAAATATGATCACTGCAGAAAGAAGGATAAATACTAACAGAGGATGGAAGATAAGAAGGTAGACGAGGGAGAGCTCCCAGAGGTCTCGTAAACGCCCTCTCAAGAGCTCTGTGAACGTTTTCTTCATGCCTCAGTTTCTTTTTCAGCTTATCTACCTACATTTGTTTTTTCCCAAATATTGAGATCATTATATTAGATAAATACTAAAATGCAAATAACAGAAACATATATAAAAAGAGATTGTAAGGGAAAGTATCACACACATCTTGTAACAATTCTATCTTTCGCTCTCTGATTGCTTTTCTCCGGTTTATAGGCGTTTTCTCCGGGTGCAATATTCTCTTATTACTTTGGTGTTCCATGTTTTCCTTCAAGCAAGAATAACACAAGAGAGAATCAGCTTCCAGGAAATTAGGTTAATAGAACTGGATTACAATTTCAGTTCCACTGTAAAAGTCATATTTGAGGTTCCATCTTTGTAAAGGTATAATACCTAAAGGGACGCGTGAAATACAAAGAATTCATATCAAAATTGACAAAATTAATTCTACTTGAAGAAAAAGCTTCAACCTTTATGCTAAAAAAGGGAAAATAAGAATCTATGGTTTCTTGTTCGTTTAGCAATTGAAGTCAGACATACCATATGCTAAATTCTCCAACTTTATCCAATTTACAAGAAAAGAATCAATCTTTGGGTCCAACAATTTAACTCAAATGTCTAGTTGCTATCAGATAAAATTATATTTCAAAACCGCTTACTTTTTCAAGCTTCATAGAGGCCTTCATAGGTTGCAGGTTGGTGCTGCTTCTGGTATTCATCTTTCCCCAAACAGAAACCCCAAATTGAATCTAATTAACAGAAAATCAAAAACAGACACAAATGGTTGGATTTGAATATAAGCTTAAGTCACGAAAGCTGGAAAATTGGAGCTGAATCAAAAAGACAAAACCTGCACGACCTTCTCTGCTCCCCTTCTGCTATGTTATCTTCATAACTAGAAATAGTACATCCGGTCTTTTCTCAATGAAAGAGAAATTTAACCATTATATACAGAGCAGCCTCCTTATATATATTACAGAGAATTTATCTGGGAGGGAGGAAGGATGAGGATTGGGGAGGGTTAAAGAGAGAAACAGCGGTGAAAATTTATGGGTCTACCAGTATAACTTGTGTTGCATGCTTCTAGTGAGCTGTGGAATGAGTGTACATTTATTCATTGTTTATTTCCCTCCAGAAAGAGTGGGGGTGTTTTGGGAAAGGAAGTGTATTTACGAAGCTATAAATAATTTGCGCTGTGAAAAAGCAAAATGCGCACTTTACTGGTAGTGCACGGCGCCAAACAGCCCATCTGAGGGTGTCATCATTCATCAGCGTGCTCTTCATGGTGACCCTACTCCGTACTAATTATAGAAAATAAGCTAAATTGATACGCCTTCGAGAATCGAGAGTAAATCGTTCTTCCCACTTTTTCCATCTTTCTCGATATACGGAGTAATTGTTTTGGTAATTGTTTCATTGGAGTTTAATCTAATTACGAGAGCTATATCTAAGAGAGCAGATAAATTTAGACAGTGTAAAGCAGTTGGAGTTATTGCACAACGTCTTGGACGTTGTACAATAATTATCTCCTTAGAGTATCTCCAATGCTACAATGTGCACGGTGCACATCTGACATGAGAGAGATAAACACAAAAGATTGATTTTATGACATTTCTCTCTCATTCTTTCCATGATCTTATTTGTTTTTGGTAAGTTTTTCTCTGCAATGTCAAACACAATGTCTACAATGTCTAGACATTGTGTTTGACATTGTGAAGAAAAACTTACCAAAATGATATAAGATCCTTCAAATAAGGAGATAAATATTTTATTTATTGTTTTTTTATTGGCTATCTCTCATGCCACGTATGCATCGTTAACGTATTAGCATTGGAGATGCTCTTAAAGTCCACGTTCCTTCCGTTTATTCATGTCTGCTGCCAGATAGCTATGCTCAAATGATAACCTACCACGTAAGCCCTAGGAATATCTCGTCCTCACTAGAACTCCGCCCAGGCTCGAGGTCTGCTGTCCAGCCTGGCCTGGTTATCGGTTCCTATTATGGGCCTGATTCCTAATTAGGCATAGGGGATCATTAATATTAATCCCGTTTATGGCTTGATCCCGTTCATGGGCTAATCATGTTTATAGGCTGATCTCGTTGAGGGCTAATCTCGTTGAGGGCTGATCTCGTTATGGGCTGAATTTGGCAATTGGGCCATGGTTCGAGTCCATGTTACACCATCACGAGCCCCTCTACTCCCTAAGGGCTGGATTTTAGAGGAGTAAAATGGAGCGTTTTATTAATTTCAAATTTCGAATGGCGCCGCGTTGCATTAAATGCGAGTAACACGTGCCAGTCCTCACAACTTCCAATCCTGCCGTCCCATCTTCAGCACTCAAGTGCTTTGGAAGCGGACCAAAGCGGTTTAAGGCATTAGGGCTTCGCTATAAAAGGTAAACTCCATCCTCTTAGCAATCCTTCTGTTACTTTACGCATTTTGAACCTTAGGCAAGAAAGCTTCTTTTCTTTGTTTCGTCTTCCCTCTGCATGTCAGTTCCCTTTTATGTCTTCCTCTAGTTCTGTTCCTCTCCATACCATCTTCCCATACGATACGGCTAACTCTGACCAGCCCAAAATCCCTAGAAACTCACTTTTACCTCTCTGCTGAATTTGCTCGCGCAGTCCCGGCAGTTGCCATCTCTGATTCTGAATTCAACACTATTGTGGCCCTTGCTGGGCCCAGTGTGATTTGCACTCGCCCCAACCCCGGTCAGAACATTGTAGACCCGCCATCTCCCCTTCACTTTGGGGTACATTTGTCGATCCTTGAAATGGGGCTTAGGTTTCCCCTCCATCTGATCAAGCTGTATGTTTTGCTCCATTATGGTCTCATCCCTGGTTAGCTTACCCCCACCACGCATCTTTTCATCGCTAGGTTCATAGCCCGGTGTCTGTCTCTCGGAATCAGGCCAACTGATATGCACTATTTCCTAGTGCATAAGTTTGTTATTTTAGTATTATTTGATTGTTGTTTTTAATTGTTTAGTTTAGTTTGTGATGTACTCTATAGATTCATTTTGTAGGTTTTAATTTGTATTTTTAGTGTGTATTTTGTTGAAAGTACCATAAGGGATACAAGGAAGTATTATAGGCACCAAAGGAAGACAAGATGAAGGGTGGATATAATTTCTGGTAGCAAACCCGGTCGGGTTGGAATATAACCCGGTCGGGTTGGAATATAACCCGGTCGGGTTGGAACTGACATATGAAGCCAAAAGGAAGTTACTCTCCGAAACCCAGTCGGGTTGGTATAAAACCAGGTCGGGTTGAGTTGAGAAGAACAAAAGAATGTGTCCAAGATCAAGAGAACGTGGAAAATATCCGATTTGATACGTAACCCGGTCGGGTTTTCACCCAGCCCGGTCGGGTTGAATGTGATTCCGGCACCTTCCGAGCAATTAAGGATACCCGATCGGGTAATCTACATACCCGGTCGGGTATGAGACCCAGCCACCTCAAAATACCTATAAATACACCCCTTTTCCTTCCCATTTTGATTACCAATTCACATATACTCTTTAGCTCAGTTTAGATTAGTGTTTTGTTTATATTTTCTATCATGTTTAGTCTCCAAATGAGGAGCTAAACTCTTGCATCTTGATTTTGCTACTTTGAAGCTTAATGAATTGTAACTTGTGAGTTATTTTCTTTAATCTTCTTCCTTGAATATTAATTTTTCCCTTAATACTATCTTTATATTAATTTTGGGGAGTGTTGCTAAGATGACAATTAGTTAACATCTTGACATTAGTTATAGTAGTATTTATTTTCTTTGTATAAATGTTGGGGAGTGTTGCTAAGATGACAATTAGCTAACATCTTGACATTAGTTATAGTAGGATTTATCTTCTTTAATATTCTTCCTTGAATATTAATTAATTCCTATTCATATTTCATATTAATATTTTGAACATTACTAAAAGGATTAACTAGTTTTGTTTCATATATTAATTATTACTAGAATCGATCGATGAATACGCTTGTTAATCGTTCGATCTTTTCATGGTAGTAAACTTGGATTATTAATTCATGCGTCTCATGGTTAATAATTTAAGGGGAATTAATTATTTTGATTAAACCAATAAACCGTTTGTGTTGAGGTTATCAATCTCAATCGTTTTCATCTTAAGTTTATTGCTACTATCGGGTTAATATACGACGTGTGTTCTATATTGACTCGGTAGTAAGTTTTATTAATGAACGCGTCCCGTTATTAATATCTACCCTTGATGAACTGGATATACCCCTCGATTGAGTATTCGAGAGGAATATAGTTAAAGATATAACCGGGATCGACGAACATTTGATTAAGTGGATAAATGCAAAACCAAGTCTTCATCTCTTTTAATTAAACCACATAAGTCATTCATCTTAGTGTTAATTTAATTAAATCAAATCAAACTTAAAACCCCCCTTGTTACTATTTTATTTAAAAGAGAAGTATTCCTTTCCCTGTGGATACGAACCTTACTTTGCTATACTACGTATTAGTGTTGCATTGTATTTATTATTTTGACAGCACACCACGACAAAGTGCTCGTCACCAACTCTAGATTTGTTTTTGCATTTCTTCCATTCAGTCCGGTCCGGCGCCTCCGAAGCCCAGGGATTTTTCTCAATTTCCCAAAGGGCTGGCCACCATCTTTTTGAGGCTAAATCTAACCCATATTCTTTCCGAAATGGAGGCAAAAATGGGTGTGGGTGACCCTAGCAGATGGCAAACTGCAGTTTGAGAACAAGTGGGGGGTTCTTATCCGGCGGCGGGTTATGCCGATTCTGAACGAGGGAACCGAGTATGCTGCCAACCTTATCGCCGAGGGCTCGCCCTTTTGGATGGGCCATTATGTTGGTGAGGATGTGTTGGTTATGCTTACATTTTCATCAGGTCGGCAACGCCTGATTTTGCACTTGTTGATTTTCCCTTCCTTTTGTTTCGAGGGTTGAGTTTACTAAATGCTTTCTTCTATCTCAGGGGGTGAGAAGATGACTTCTAGGCTTGAGCGGTTGGCTGCAAAGGCTGGCTCATCACCAGGGGCCTTGGTTAGGAAGGTCCAAACCCGAGGTTCCATAGAAGCCGCCCTTGGGAAGTCTGGAAGGGGACCACAAAGAGATGGCACTGCGACTCTTGCAGCGCCGGCTGCAGACCTCCGTCCCCCTTTGAGGAGGGGGCCGGGAAGAGGCTGGCATCCAGCCCATCCCCTTGCCGAAAGGGAAGAAGTCCCGAGCTGCGAAGAATCCTGCTCAAGCTGTTATTGAGTTAGACTCTGATTCTGAGAGTCGGTCCTTTGAAGGTGGCAGTCGGGGGGACGCCCCGAGACCTATCAATAAAATCTGTTTGTCTCTCTATTCTGATTCTGCCTCTCTGTTTCGTTAGACAGTCAACCCAGTCTCCTTGGCCTTAATTATCACTCCTCCGGTGGACGCAGCTAAGGCTGGTAGCCTTTCTCCTCGAGCGTCTCTCTGGCGCGTTGTCCACTGCATCTCTTAGGTAACACTTTCTTTAGTTTCTCTGTTACCTTAGATTTCATCATGATTGTTCATAGCCCTTGCTATTTCATTCCATAGGCATTTGTGCTAGCCGCCTCCAGCTCACGCCGGTTAGATGGGGAGCAAGAAAAGGCCCAGGGTCACGCCAGTTAACACAAGAAGGTGGTAGCTGACCTGGAGTCATCCCTGGATGCCGCGCTGAGGGAAGCTAAGGAGCTGAGGAGGAAGCTGAATGATGTTGTTACCGGTCACCGGGCCATTGAGGAGGAGCTGAGAAAGAAGGCGGATGTAGCTGACCCAGATGCGGTCCAAGTTTTCCGGAGCAATGAAGCTTTCCGAGAGGAGGTGGAGCAGGTAATCCCTGAAGGGGAGGTGAAGCTAGATGAGGAGGGGGCACTTTGCTTCCAGCTTGGCCGATATGGGATGTAAAAGGACATATACGAAATCCCCTATTGAAGGACCCCTCCTTTGATGCTCTGCATGGGGCTTGCCTGAATTGATAACCAATCATGAAGTCCCCCAAGACTGTCCCCACCCCGGAAGATCCTCCTTCCTAGACTGGTAACGAAACCTTGACTCTTTGAACACTCTGACTTTAAAACAAACATCTTTATCGGGCCTACATGCCTGTGGCGTTTTCTACCCTCGGGGTGGCTTGTAAACAAACACCCTTACATTTCAGCTTACTTTACCCTGTGTATATATCTATGACCGCTTTATCTGCTTGATGTTGTTTTGCGTCTGATACCTTTAGGAATGTTGAGGTTGTCCAGCCTTAATCCAGACTGGCTTCTTCATTTGGGATATCTGAATTCTCTGGGAAGATGACCTCTGACCTTGAGCCTGCATAATCTTAGAATGTGGGACGACCTCCAGGTCTTCCTAGATGTTTTCCGGTCAAGGTTGTTTTCCTTGTATGTTTTGGCCTTTAATTTCCTAGTTTGTCCTTGTATGTTTTGGTCTTGAATTTCTTGTCAAGGTTGTTTTCCTTAGGCTCTTAATGTTTGAGCCAGATTGGGATAACTTTACCAACTTTAAACCCTTAGGCTCTTAGTGTTTGAGCCAGATTGGGTGGGCTTTTCATTTTAGGTTACTTAGACCTCGTGATAAACCTCTTAATTGACGAGGTATGTGGGTCTCTCTGGTGCAAAGTTAATTCCCTTGTTTCATCTTTAGCCTTGTAAAATCAATCTTAACCTTGAGAAAGGTTGTCTTTTCCGGTTTAAGGAAATATGATTTTGTTTATAAGGCTGTTTAACCTTGAGAAAGGTTGCTTATTCCTGCTCTTGTCTTTGGTAAGACTAGGTTGAGCTTTAGAATTTAGATGAGTCTGGAATTTGTACTTTGTCTTTTTTTTGCGAGTACCAATTAGGCATAGTAAATCTTAGCTACAAAATGTGTTTTTTTTGCACTGATTGGGGGCCGTCTAATATCATAACAGGTCTTTACCAACCCATATCAAATCTTAGCTACAAAATGTGTTTTTTTGCACTGATCGGGGGCCGTCTAATAAATTTGGAGATCCTTGTTCAAAACGCAAATTTGAGGCCCCGCTTTAATATAAAAAACTTAAAAGTATTCTCAATCTAAATTCTTATTATACTCAAATCCATTGAATACTCATTAAATAATACAATTAAAGAATTACATGTACTAATATTTCCCTTTCAAATAATTAATTAATCTCTATATTTTTTTGTTGAGTGTTTCTTTATGAGGGCATTATTATACGAAGCAGTGGAGTATGACTTTAGTTGCAACCCATATTCATATATGATAGTATATGCTATTACATTAATTAATTAATGTTAGTGACCTATGATAAGTCCGTATTTTGACACGCATTTGATGTGTGTTGAGATCGGCTTTTGATGATTTTCCTATCTTTAAGGTGTTACAAGTCTCAATTTTAGCTCAAGTTATGTTTACCGGGCGTTGGTTCGAGTTTTGTGTTGTTTGTAGTCAAAATCAGGGAATTTGAGCCCGGTACCGGCACTTGAGGAACAATCGGGATGATTTGAGAAGCATTTGAGAATGATTTGATAGCTTTGGAGGTCACCGGAAGATTCACGATGAAGATTTGAAGGAAAAAGAGTTCTAGGATTGGCTACGGGGTCAAAAGAAGATGAATGAAGATTGAAAATGACGATCAGGATGACCTTCTGTCAATCGTTCAATCATATCTCTTTGTAGAAACATCCACTGTACACGATTCAAGTTCCATATGAAATCTAACTTCAAGGGCTACAAATGATATGAAGACACCTTTGCGAGAATCTGAGAGGAAGAAGGTGAAAACAGACGATGAAGTCAGATGATCTCTGCTGCGATTTCAGAAAGCCACCTTCCACCGTTTTGATCATATCTCTTGATTGGATGATTCACATCACATTCGGCAAATTGGGGTGGATAGAGGACTTCATTATCTACAACTTTCATGAAGGAAGTTTTGTCAAATTCGGAAGTTAAGTAGGCACGATCGTGCCCTCAAAGTCAGACACGATCGTGCGTGAAGAGAAAACACCGAGGAGTTACTGCCAGCCAAAATGCGCGTTTTTGCTCCGGAGGCACGATCGAATGCCAGACACGATCGTGCCTGGCATCGTGTCTGGCTCCGAAAATCCTAATTCAGCTCAAATTTCACCCGATTTTTCTATTTAAACAGCCTGTAAACCCCCATTTTCAAGGGGGAGCTTAGAGAGAGTGCCTAGCACGAATTTTAGAGGGCTTTTTAGCCTTGTTGATCAATCTTTTGGGATTCTTTGTAAGTTCCACCTTTTTAATTAATGACAATTAATTCTTTTTATTCCAATTCTATTGATTCTTCAATTATGAATTGTGAGTAGTTTTAATTAGGGATTTGGGATTGATGAAGGGGTTAATCATGATGTATGGCTAGATTCTTTTCGGTTTAATTGCATGAATGCCGTTTAATTTGTGTTTGAATAATTTAATCGATATCTTTTGTAACCTAGAATCGCGAATAGAATTACAATTGCATGTAAAATAAATTAAGAGAGATCTAATTTGTTCTAGGACACATTCACACACACTTAATCGTTCGCTAAGAGATTAGTAGCGATTAAGGGGCCGTAAGCTCGCTCGTCTTGGCAATAATTTAGGATCCTGTCGCATGAGAGATCAGCCTGGTCCCCTAAATTATTGTACTCTACGCCGCGAGAGAGGTAAGAACTTAGTAATGATTAGCTAGGCTCAATTAAATTAATTTCATGTAATTAGGCCTAATCTGCTAGAAATTTGGTTACCCCGGAATTGATCCATGTTCCCTTCGTCATTATTTAGAAAGAACCCCCTAGTTTAATTGTTCGCATTAGTTTTATTTTCCAAACCAACCAATCTCGCACGACGCTTTTATTTTATTTTCTTTTTAATCGCTGAATTTAGTTAATTCTTATTTCCCTTTTGTCCGTCCCTGTGGAGACGATACTCGTACTTTACACCACTTTTCTACAACCATTTTAAGTGCGAGAAAAGTCACATCAACCTAAAATTAATTAATACTATTAGTCCCATATAAATATTGGGGCCCCATGGAAAGTGGGGCCCTGTTTTGTTTAACTTAATTAACATGCTAAAAGACGGTCCTAACACTGATAACTTCGCAGCCCACCGAGGTTCCCAAGCTTGGACATCCTCCAACCAGACACGGGCCACATCCTCCTCCTCGGCCTCGTTTACGTCTATTTCCCAGCCCAAAACGTCGACAAACCCTCCCATCAACCCCACCTTCGGCCGAATACTTCCAAGGGCAAAGGGTCAAAGGACTTTGTGGAATTCTGCTTCCATATCGAGGATACTCCTCTGAGGGGGACAAATCCCTCGGACTACTACTCTATGGTGCATGGCTCCTGTCGCGCAGGGCCGGTCCTCAGAAAAAGCAGGCCTCGTGTAATAACAAAATTTGGACCTTCCTAATAGCCTACCATAGTTTGATGTGATCTCTAGCCTTACTTATATGATTTGTATTAAATTAGTTGACCGCACTTGCAATTTACATAGCAGCCAAGAAACTGACACATTACTTCCAGGCTCATCCCATCAAAAGTGCTGTCAGACCTGGGAGTTGGAACTTTATTCAGGACGGCCGAGACCGCGAGAGTTGTGAAGTGGTCCATGCTGATCAGCTAATATCAAGTAAGTTTCCAACCTAGAACATCAATCAAAGGTCAAGCTTTGGCAGACTTCTTAGTTGAATGTATTGCGCGGGACATGGCTGAAGAAAGCTGTCACGAAGAGGAAGATTGGTGGACCTCATGACTGATGGATCATCATCAGGGTCCAAAGGTTGCAGAGGAGGGGTGGTCCTCATCACCCCTGAAAGCTTCAAAACCTATCATGCCCTTAGATACATGTTTAACATGTTCAATAATGAAGCGAAATACGAGGCACTATTATCTGGCCTCAGGATAGCAAGACATTTCAAAGCCCAGAAACTAAGGGTAAAAGGTGATTCTAAGTTGGTAATCAAACAACTTAGGGGGGAATACGAAGCCAAGGAAGAACGGATGCAGAAGTACAGGGATACAGCCCTGGAACTTATTAAACAGTTTGAGGAGTCAAATTTGATGTGTGTTCCACGAGCCCTAAACATTAAAACAGATATCTTATCAAAGTTTACAATGGATTTACCTGAACATCTCATGCGCATAGATTGAATACAAGAGCTGGATACGCCTAGCATCGAGGTCGCGAAAGATCTAGAGGTCTTCCCTATCGGACGGGCTCAAAAATCCTGGGTGGAAGAACTAAGGGAGTACGAGGAGGTTGGAACATTGCCTTCCAACGAAGAGAAGGCAAAGCTAATCAAAAGATGAGCTCCAAACTATGTCATTGAGGATGACAAGCTTTACAAAAGAAGCTACAATGGCGTGCTACTCAAATGCCTAAGGCCAGAATAGGCTCAACAATGTGAGGAACTC